GCCTTGGCAGATGGTAGAGTTTGAATTAAATAAAAAAAATCTGGAATTAAGAATCTAATAATGACCATGAAATCATTGTCAATTGTCAGAAAAACCCATCTAGGTCACTAATGTCATCCTCACTTGATCTGGCCTATATGTTACTCCAGACCCAGAGCAATGTAGTTGACTCTCAACTGCCATCTGAAATGCCCTAGCATTTGTTGTATCAATCACTATGAAGTCTCAACAAAGAAATGAAACCGGGTGGAACACTTAGCATTGACCCAGACACAGGAAAAGACAATGGCAAAAACTCTGTTGACTCTGCAAAGTTCTACTTACTAACATCTGGAGGCTAGTGCCAAAATTGGGAGAACTGTCTCACAGACTAGCCAAGCAACAGCTTGACATAGTTATACTCACAGAATATTGTTACAGACAATATCCTAGGCACACCATTACCATCTCTGGATATGTCCTGTCCCATTGGCAGAACAGACCCAGCAGACATAGCGGCACAGTGGTATAATCGGGAGGGAGTTGCCCTGGGAGCCCTCAACATTGACACTGGACCCCATGAAGTTTTCATGGATTTAAGTTAAACATGGGCAAGGATACCTCCTGCTGATTACTATGTAGTATCCTCCCTCAGCTGATGAATCGGTACTCCTCCATGTTGAACAACACTTGGAGGAAGCACTGAAGGTGGCAAGGGGGCAAAATGTACTCTGGGTGGTGTATTTCAATGTCCGCCACCAAGAGTGGCTTAGCAGCAGCACTACTGATCAAGCTGATGGTGTCCTAAAGGACATAGCTGCTAAACTGTGTCTGTGGCAGGTGGTGAGGAAACCAACAAAAGGGAAAAACATACTAACCTCATCCTTACCAATCTGCCATTGACAGTATCTGTAAGATTGACCGCTGCACAGTCCCAAACTTCCATATGGCACTTATCACTGTGCTGAATGGTAGAGACTGCAAACAGATGTAGCAACTCAAGACTAGGCACCCATGAGGCATTGTGGGCCATCAACAGCAGCAGAACTGTACTCCAGCAGAATCTGTACCTCATGGCCTGGTACATCCCCATTCAATCATTAACATTGAACCGGGGATCAACCCTGGTTAAATGGAGAGTACAGGAGGGCATGCCAGGAGCAGCTCCAGGCATACCTAAAAATGAGGGGTTAACCTGGTGAAGTTACCAAACAGGACTACTTGCATACCAAACAACACAAGAACCAAATGATAGACAGAGCTAAACAATCCCACAACCAACAGATCAGATCTAAGCCCTGTGGTCCTCCCTCATCCAGTTGTGAATTGTGGTGGACAATTGAACAACTCACTGGAGGAGGCTGTTTCACAAATATTCCCAACCTCAACGATGGAAGAGCCCAGCACATCAGTGCATAAAATAAGGCTGATGCATTTTCAGCCAAAAGTGCCAAGTGGTAGATCCATCTCAGCCTCCTCCAGTGGTCACTTGCAACGCAGATACTAGTCTTCAGCCAATTCGATAACGCTCCACATGATATCAAGAAACAGTTGGAGGCCTTGGATAGTGCAAAGGCTAAGGGCCCTGACAACATTGTGACAATAGTACTGAAGAATTGTGCTCAGAACTAGCTGCTTCCCTAGCCAAGCTGTTCCAATACATCTACACACTGGCATTTACCCGTCAATGTGGAAAATTGTACGCAAAAAAGAGGACAAAGAAAATCCAACCCGGCCAGTTACCAACCACCAGCCTACACTCAATCATCAGTAAAGTGATGGAAGGTGTCATCAACAGTGCTATAAAGCAGCACTTGCTCAGCCAAAAGAATCCCAAAAAAGAATCCCCCTCGTCCTCACGTACCACCCCACCAACCTCCAGATCCAACGCATCATCCTCCGACACTTCCGCCATCTGCAATCCGACCCCACCACCAAAGACATCTTTCCCTCCCCACCCTTATCTGCTTTCCGGAGGGACAACTCTCTCCGTGACTCCCTTGTCCGCTCCACACTCCCCTCCAGCTCCACCACACCTGGCACTTTTCCCTGCAACTGCAGGAAGTGCTACACCTGCCCCCATACCTCCTCCCTCACCCCCATCCCAGGCCCCAAGAAGACTTCCCACATCAAGCAGATGTTCACCTGCACATCTGCCAATGTGGTATACTGCATCCGCTGTACCTGGTGTGGCTTCCTCTACCTCGGGGAAACCAAGCGGAGGCTCGGGGACCGCTTTGCAGAACACCTACGCTCGGTTCGCAATAAACAACTGCACCTCTCAGTCGCGAACCATTTCAACTCCCCCTCCCATTCCTCAGACGACATGTCCATCCTGGGCCTCCTGCAGTGCCACAACGATGCCACCCGAAGGTTGCAGGAACAGCAACTCATATTCCGCTTGGGAACCCTGCAGCCCAATGGTATCAATGTGGATTTCACAAGTTTCAAAATCTCCCCTCCCCCTACCGCATCCCAAAACCAGTCCAGCTCATCCCTGCCTCCCTAACCTGTTCTTCCTCCCACCTATCCCCTCCTCCCACCTCAAGCCGCACCTCCATCTCCTACCGACCAACCTCATCCCGCCCCCTTGACCTGTCCGTCCTCCCTGGACTGACCTATCCCCTTCCTAACTCCCTACCTACACTCACCTTTCCTGGCCCCATCCCCGCCTCTTCGACCTGTTTGTTTC